TTAAGGAGATGGATGAGATTCTCAGCAACGCTCACAAGAGTATTGTTGACTCCCAGACTCGCATGGCTACTAGCGTCAATCGTTCTCGCATCGACCACCCATTCAAAGTTGGCGATAAAGTCCTTGTCGACGCACGCCACTTCAGGCCCGAGGCCGGCCAGCTTCGGAATTCAGACGTCGATACATCGGTCCGTGCACTATTCTTTCACCCGCCGGACCTAATCATGACTGTCTGCCGAGCTTCAAATTGAAGCTCCCTAAATCCATGTATCGCGCTAACCTGCATGACGTGTTTCATGTATTTCTATTGCGCCTCTTCAAACGGTCTCCCCCTGAGTTCCACGACCGACCTTACCCTCGCCCCTCTCCCATCATCATTGAGGGTCACGAGGAGTTTGTCGTTTTTGATATCTTGTCCCGACGTATGACTGATGGTGACCCTCCCCGCCTCGAGTATCTTGTTCGATGGAAGGGTTACCCTGACAAGAAGTCTACTTGGGAGCCTCTCGAGGACCTGAAGCATGTTATGACTTTTATGCGTGCTTACGATCGTGCTCATCCTTTCCCTTCATCATCCTCCCCCCCTACTTCTCGACCTTCTAGTCACCCATCTACTTCAGCGACCACTAACATTCTGCCTTCTCCATTGATGGGTCCTCCCGCTTCACCAGTACCTGCCTCAGGTTCTCCTTCCCCCGTGGATGTGATTTCACCTGTTGTTGCAGTTGATTCCTCTCGCCCTCAGCGTACCCATCGACTTCCTTTTCGCTATCGTGACTGATCTACACCCCCTATACACTCTCTATCTTTTACCATTTTTGGACACTTATGCAGCAGCTCCCGGTTTCGACTTCTACATTTGGCTTCTACATTCGACTTTCGACCTCAGTGCTTCTCTTCTGTACCAAAGTACCTATCGCAGTGTTCCGGACTTCAACTCGGTTTCTGCGCTACTCCTACTTCATCTTGGCTACTTCGACTCGACTTCAGTTTGGAGACTCACCGGTTGGAATACTTCTTCTTTTTTTGGCTACGAAGTTTCCATCATTCCCATCTATCGACCATCCTCGAGTTTACCCTCCAGTCGCATGATGAACCCTGTTTTCCCTGACCATGTAGGTGTGTTCGTTTGCCGCCCTTCTGCCTTACCCTATGCTGCGCTCCTTCCTCCGGAGTGTACGTTTTTCTTTGCTCGCAGCCCTTGGACATGTCTATGCCGGCATAGCCCCCCCTATCCTTACAAGCTCGCTCGTGTGCTCCCTTGTGTGAGTGCCCTTTTTCCTTTCAGCTGGCGGTGCCGGTTTGATGGTTTCCATTGAGCCTGGTGTTGTGCTGTTATTCTCCCTTTGAGCCTGATGATGCTTCATATGGTTGTGTGGGTACCCCCTTGGAGTTTACTCTGAGAGCTGTACTTGCCGCCTCCTTCCCATCCCTACCTCTCCCATGCGACTTAGATCCTTGTCTTCTATTCGACTATTGTGTACTTGTATAGGGTACGTGAGATTGTGCCACATTCTTTTTCAGTGTGGATATTGATGTAGTTACTCTTAGCTTTTAGGGATCAGGTGTTGACTTATGCTCTGCCACATTGGCTTAGGAGACATTTTTCTCTTTCTTGGGCGACACAGGTCAAACATTTCTCTCTTTCTTGGCCGACAAAGGTCAGGCATTTTTATGCTTTTTGGGTCGATTCAGACCAGACATTGTTGTATAGATTAGGCTTGAGGCTTAGTCTGCATTGCATCTCTTTTTCTGCACGGAGCTTGCTCCGCATTTAGGATTGTTTCTTTGCCGCTCCTCTGGGTTTCCGCTATTTCAGCGGATAGCGTGTTGATGTATCGCTTGATCCATTTACAGGTCCGAGGATCATGTAGCAGTACCCTTCGGCCCGACAGTGAGGCCGGACGTGTTTCAGGCCGTCGGCCCGACCCCGGTCCGGTACCGGGTTACTCCGGCCTGGACCAAGGCCGGTATATCTCTCCGGCCTAGGCCCAGGCCGGGTAGGTGATTCTTTCAGTTGTTTGTTCATCCATTGAGTCCGACTGGACCTTCACTCAGCTGCTGCTATCTCTTCTCTCTCTCTCTCTCACTATCTCTGCACGTGCGTCACAATATTGAAGTTGATCTGACTTTTGCATATATAACCACCATACCTGCATCACTGCTTCGTCCATGCATGGTGTATCTTGCGCCGAGGTTGCCGAGCAGCCTGTCGACGTCTCATTAGAATTCATCTTTCCGTCTTCAAGGCTTGATGATTTCAGTTCTATGGCGCCAGCACATTCTTCCTCTTTGAGACTCTGTGATTCGGACGGCGACACTGATGACGGAGAGTTGCTGCCACTGCCTTGCTCAGGAACCACAGGGTCAAGATTATGCTGATCAACATCATGATGAGGAGGAGGATGACAACGAGGGCGTTGAACTCTGCTGAAGGACTGTGTACCAGCTCCCATGAATAACGCTAAGGTGTCGGTTTCCTGCGGAGATGCGCCACCATGGTTGCCTGAGTCTGTCATCCCGTGGTCACTAACAATAAGCTGCAACCAAGACATAAACAACAAGTGGAGAGAGATTAACTCAAATAACATAATTTCAAATTTGATTCGAATAATGTTTTCATCATGTCTTATTAAGCCACCACTAGCTTTCCCGCACATCGGCCAGGGGGAGGGTCCCCGCTCGTTTCAGAGGGCGAAACAAAGCAAACGCCGCCGACTCAACTTATGAACAGCGGTTGCTGTTGGGCCTGGTCCCCGGAGAATGCGGTATAGGTTATGTTCCCACTTTTCCCAACACTTTTCCCAACACTTTTCCCAACACTTTTCCCAACACTGTGAAAGGTAGTGGCGGCTTAACTTTCTTTTATATATTTTCTTTCAGTTCTCTTTGTATTTCATTGTCAATGTTGTTATTCATTCTCAGTAGCAGGGAAATGCCAGGGATACGGATATGCACCATCTGTTTGTTTCCATTCACCCTCAGAGTATGTGCTGCATTTGTTCTGAGAACACTGCCATGTGCATCCTAGTATAGAGCTGGAGTGCGTCCTCAACTATCACGCATGATGGTGGTATAATATACTGGAGGGGTTGTTTTTTTCTTTTCCCTCCCTGTCCGACCTTCTTTGAAAGTGCCCTGGTACAGTCAATTACATTTGACGAGTTTAGACTCTAGACAGACGGGGTTACATCGGACCTGTACCCGAACATATCCAGACAATCCAGATTGGGATGGTCTAATGGTAATGACCCGGACGGACAAGGCGTGCCCTCTGAAATTTGAACTTCAAGGCCCGATACAAGTTGCGTGGGTACACTTTCTTTCATTCACTGGAGGATAAAACAGACACTCTAAATACTAAATAGTAAATAGTTTAAACTTTAAAGTTTAAACACACTAAAGATTTAACACCCACTAAAATGCCCCTACCTGCCAATTTGAAGGTCAGAGGTCCTCACAGGACCTCTTGCCTTTATTCTTCGTAATATCACCCTTGGGCACTGGGCCCGGTTAAACAAAAAAAAAAGAAAAAGGAGGGCAGAGGCAAGCTTTCATTCACTGGACTCTGGGGGATAAAACAGACACTAGAGATTCCAAACACACTGAAGATCTGACACACCAAATAAAATGGCCCTTTGCTACACACCAATTTGAAGTTGAAGGCCAGAGACAAACTTTCATTCACCGCAGGATTAAACAGATGCATTAAAGAGAGTGTAAAGTTGTAAACACACTAAAGATTTGACAGCGACGAAAATGCCCCTACCCACCAATTTGCAGTTGAAGGTCAGAGACAAGATGTGCACTTGCAGTTGAAGGTCAGAGACAAGATATGCACTTTCCCTCGTTCGCTGGAGGACAAAATGCGTACATGCCCCCACCCACCCACTTGAGGTTGAGGGCCCAAGACAAGCTGTAAGTGTGTTCTGCCTTCCGTAGTAGCATGCTTACTCCTAGCGCTCGAAGTGCCCGGTACAATGTGGCTTGTTTGATAGTGCTTCAATCAGGGCTGGGGAGCGAGGTGAGAACTTGCTTAGCCCTGATGCCAATAACTGCTGTCCGGTCAAAGATCACTAGAATGCCATGAGTAAGTGTGGGCGGGTGTCTCATAGGGGACCGGTGAGGCAATACATCAGGATGGTAAAATGGTCAGGTGCTGACGGGCCTGTCATATGCCTAGTAGCCAGCTTCTACAACAACCTGGATTTTCAACAACAAAAAAAAAAAAAAAAAAAAAAAAACACCTTAAAGACTTAACACCTAGGCTACCAGCCACGCAGCCCGGGGGACCCTGTTTTCCTGGGCGGCCCGGCCGTGCAAGGACCAGAGAAGGACCCAGCCAAAAAAAAACAAAAAAACAAAGCATTCCAAAAACTCTGAAAAAAAAAGACTATGTTATGCAGAAAAATAAACTGAACAACTTCTTGCCGCGGGGTCACATCGAAATTCTTTACCGAATTTTAAATAAAAAGAAAAATATTAAAAATTGAAAAATATTATTAATTTTTATTTTTTTCATTGTTAATTTGCTTTTGGCCCGGCCGGCCAGGTGGTCCCGGGCCACTCTGGTAGCCTAGCTTAACACCAACTAAAATTCCCCCACCCACCCACCAACCCACACGTGGATAGGGTTAGTACTATGTGTTCGTCAGTATGGTGCTATGCATGTTGAGGGAATTGTATTGTTTAGTTTCGTAGCCTCTGTAGAGTTTCGAACCGGTTACCGGTGAGACGACCGCTGATTCGTGTTTTTGAGGGTTCGACCCTGGGTCCGGGTTGACGGTTCGACCTGGGATTTTTCATAATTGGACTCGTGGCTATTCAAACCTGGAACCTGAACTCGGTCAACCCATCTCAGAGAGGGGTAGGACCACGTGGGGAATTTGGTTGATGCTTTCGATAAATACGTAGGTGTAGATTTGTTACGTCCCTTTGGTTCCCGCTATTGATTCCGGCTGTGACGACGGCGGATCATCAATACGGGGTGGTCTGCGGAACGCGGCGGATTTTGGGTTAGATGGATTCTTGAAGTGGTAAACCATTGACATTCTCGTGTATGTCTACGTGTCACTTGGTGACTATGTGTGCTGCTTTGTGTGTTTCACACCTTGTCTGCCACCATACATTCTCAACTCATCTACTGCACACGTGAACTTGCCTGGGGAGGATTACCGGGTTTGGAGTGAGCGTGCTGGTGAACTACATACTTGTGTTTAGTACTATCTCAAGATGTCGACCTCCGGGCGACGCGAAGAAGAACGTGACAGTTACGATCGAAGACGTGATGATGAACGTGGGAGTAGAGAACGCCGCACTTATCGTCCTGTGGTGTGTTTTAACTGTAACGAGGAAGGACATTACGCCAACCAATGCCCGCAACGGGGCGGACGGGCTAGTCGACCTTTGACGTCGACAGATTCAAGACGTTCTCGTTCACCGAGGCATGCTGAGTTCGGCCGCCGGCTGCCCCCGCAAGGGGAATCGGAATTGAGGGCGAAGGTTGCGGAGTTATCAAAGGGCATTGCGACAATCAAGGAGCACTTTGACGAGGTACGCGCGAAGAAAGAAGAGAAGGCCCGCAAGAAGTGGGAGAAGGAGCAGCAGAAGGAGGAAGCAAAGCGCAAAGAAGAAGAGGAAGAGCGACTGAGAGCCGAGGAAGCGGTGAAACGTGAGGCTAAGAAGAAGAAGAGAGATGAGAAGGCCAGGAAGGAAGCCATCGCACGAGCTGAAATGAAGAAGGAGGTAACGCTACATGCAGCGAAGATGATATGTGAGATTAAGGATGACTTTCTACAAGAATGGAAGACAGCGATACTACCAGGGACTATCGGTGGCGTGAAGGATATGAAAGGCAAGAAGGCGGTAGAATTTGTCACCAATGATGACGAAGGGTCGGACTATAACTCCGAAGGAAGTGAGACAAGTGTCACACAGGAGTTGAGTGTCAAGACGGGTAGACTATGCCTAGCAGAAAAGAGGAAACGGGAGGAAGACGTGAAGATGGAGGATAGTCCTCCGATGGAGTTGCCAGCCAAACGGACTCCGCGGAGGCCCAGCCTCAAGTTGGTTCCGAGTTTAGGATTAACTCGCTCGAAGAGTAAAGCGAAGGTCCCACGCATGGTGATTCCGGCGAAGACGCGCACCCCCGTGAAGACCCCATTGTCCAAGCTGAGCAAGCCAAAGAAGACTCCACCGACGGGGAGATTGACCCCGGCTAGCAAAGCGCTGGCGCGACTGAGGTTCCGCGATGCCGTGATCAAAGAAATCAAGGATTGCAATGCCGACGAATTACAGCGTATGTGCCGGGAGGAGGGCATACACTATGATGGTAAGCTGGACGCTATCTTTGGCCTAGCGGAGCACCGAGCGCAATGGCACTTTGGGCGCGAGGGTGAGGTTGAAGTCGTTCGACCGATAGAGCTCGGGTCCGATTCAGTTGAAGCCGAGGGTTCCGCGGGTACGGAAGCGTGAGTAGATATACCTCTGACACGCTGGTGGGAACTATGCAGGTACATTACACGGCTTAGATGTGCTCAAGGTTGCGGGAACGCTAAGTGGGAAGAACTGCTACGTGTAGTTGTTGTCTTGTTAGCCTTGCATAATCAGATTCGCTGGCTCAACAGGTATGTAGGTACTTGGTCACAGCTGTATGATACACATGGTATTGGTTTCTTGGGATTGACGAATGTTGTGTATGTCGCCATCTCCCCGTACTGTAAGGCGAGTTATGTCGGGAAGACAACGCGCACCTGTGCTGTTCGATGGCCGGAGCACTTGTATGCGGTCAGGAAGAAGACGCAGTCCCATTTTCACAGATGGTTGGCTTCTTTTGGCTGTGGTAACTACCTGTTAGTTCCAGTAGATATCTTTGTCGGTAAGGACCTGTTGAAGTTGGAGAGTTTGTATATCAACCGCTGGTTGCCGTTTCTGAACACTGCTGGGACGAAGTTGGGGAAAGGATGTGGGAAAAGGAAACCGGGGAGGAGGGAGAGGGAACGTAGAAGAGGGAAAGGGGAACCCAGACCGACAAGGGGGATTAGGCCAATCCGGTTTTCCCTGGATGAAACTGGTTGTAGTTTCTTGGATCTGCATGCGTTTCTGGAGGGCAGATTGAACGAAGGGAATCGTCCATGCTCGGTGAGATCTGATGGGGGTACTGACTGGACTCCTAACTGGAAGAAAATTTGAAAGGCCTTTGGAGATACGAAGGTCAAGTTCCAGTCGCAGATTTGTACCCTTAAGGAATGCAAAAGACGAGATTGTGCACATAGTGAGGTGGGAATCTAAGGCAGGGTATCTAAAGAAGGTGCTGATTGGGATTTTACGAAATCCTAGTAAGATGTACAGTCTCCACCACTGGGGCATGGCTCCGGATCTACCATGCGATTAAAGACTTCAGCAGGAAGTCAACGAGGAAGTACTTGCGCAGATTGTTAACACGAGGGTTTCGGGAGCGGTTTCAGTTGAGCCTGGCTTTGGATCTTACGTTCAAAATCAAATTTGATGATCGTATTGTGATGTCGGAGGTGAGGAAGGTAGTGAATGACTTGTTGATGACCTGTCACCTGCCGATTTGTTTTGTACTCCACGCACGCAGGAAGATTCGGATTGTAGGTACTAAGAACCCTACGGTTGCCAACTTATTGCACAACCATAGACGTGCTTCGTCTGAAGGTGTGCTTACCTGTGCATGTACAGGTATGGACTTCCCGCGTGTGAATGAACATGTGAAGTTTCGGCTTAGCGAGGTAGCTGACTTGCACCCGCTGTTGTCGAACGCGAACAATGTGCCGAAGATCGAGGCGCCGAATAGATTGGAGTTGTTGAGAATGGAACAACGTGAGGGTTTTTTGAATTGGAAGAATTTGGGTGGTGAGATTCCGGATTGCGATGGGGTTGACTTGTCTGCTTGCCTGACGTCAGGGGATGAACCTTTGTCCTGTTTGTCTTTGAAAGATGTCACAGAGCTGAAAGAGCGCTTGAAGGGCTTGGTGATATCGCCCGTAGATAGGAATCCCGGGGAGACTGTTGTGATGTGTCCTATTACGTACTATGATGCCATGATGAGCACGTTTATTTGCAATCCAGGTTACCGACTTGTTGATAGCTCGGAGGGGGAGATCTTGCGGGAAATCCGCGAGGATACCCTACGACGAGGAATCATCAGATCGGTGAGTTGGGATGCCACGGGATCGTTTGGTGCGGCTTATGTGATTCCGAAGCAGAAAGATCTAGGCAGGTATAGACCTATCTGCCCATCGTTCAATGAGACGATGGTCAAAACCGCACGGACGATGAGCAAAGCGCTGAATCACCTGTTGAGTCGGCTGCCAAGAAGGTGGCATTTCAACCTGCGAGCTGTGTCTGACTTGTCGACGCAGTTGGATAAGATCAATGAAAGATTGGACAGGTTACCTGGTGATAGGCAAATCAGTTCCTACTCCTTTGACATCAAGGAGATGTTCTCCAAATTGCCGCATGAGTCGATTTTGAATGCTGTGGATTGGATCATAGATCACCATCGAGTGAAGGGACACGAGTTTGTGAGAGTTAATACCCGAGGTAAAGGGGCAACCTTCGGGTTGACAACAGGGGATGACCACTGGAAGAAACTGGACTTGGAAACGGTCAAACAGTTTGTGCATCTCGAGATTGAACACACCTACTTCTTTGCTACGGGAGTTTTGCTTAGACAGGTAGTGGGTGTTCCCATGGGCAAGAGCATGAGCCCACCGATTGCATGTTTTATGTTCACCTTCTCCGAGTACCAGATGACCTGTACACTTGGACGAAGCTGTCGCATGTTTGGGGCATTGAGATTGATTGATGATGTGCTGTTGATTGTTTCAAGCCAAGATGAGACGACACGCCTGTGGATTGTCCGGGCGTTGGCAAGTTGCTACCCGGACGGACTGGTGTTGAAAAGAACAGACAATGGATCGGGCACGGCAGAGTTTCTGGGCTGTGAAATCAGAACTCAGCAGTTGTACCCTTTCATTGGTTGTGTACAGTTGTCCAGGAACGAGAATTGCATCTGGAACCAGGAGAAGTTGACCATACAGAATGGCCAGTCATTCCACTCATGGGGTAGCAAAAAGCAAAAGAGTGCGACTATTGGCAGCCACCTGCATCGTATCCAACAAAACACTTCGATTCGATCAGAAATTCCTGGACGAGTGTTGGGCCTGCAGCAGGCACTGGTCAGGGAGGACTTTCCACTGAGGTTTGTAAACAGGGTTTTTCAACGTTTTGGTAGTCAGCGTGATGAGTTGTGGAGACGGACCATAGACTTCGTGTGTGATGAGTAGCATATGCCACACGTGGATAGGGTTAGTACTATGTGTTCGTCAGTATGGTGCTATGCATGTTGAGGGAATTGTATGTGGGCGGTAGTCTTGTAGTTGTTTAGTTTCGTAGCCTCTGTAGAGTTTCGAACCGGTTACCGGTGAGACGACCGCTGATTCGTGTTTTTGAGGGTTCGACCCTGGGTCCGGGTTGACGGTTCGACCTGGGATTTTTCGTAATTGGACTCGTGGCTATTCGAACCTGGAACCTGAACTCGGTCAACCCATCTCAGGGAGGGGTAGGACCGCGTGGGGAATTTGGTTGATGCTTTCGATAAATACGTAGTTGTAGATTTGTTACGTCCCTTTGGTTCCCGCTATTGATTCCGGCCGTGACGACGGCGGATCATCAATACGGGGTGGTCTGCGGAACGCGGCGGATTTTGGGTTAGATGGATTGTTGCAGTGGTAAACCATTGACGTTCTTGTGTACGTCTACGTGTCACTTGGTGACTATGTGTGCTGCTTTGTGTGTTTCACACCTTGTCTGCCACCATACATTCTCAACTCAAGTGGTGTGCACTTTCGTTCGCTGACTGGAGGGTATAAAGCAGGCCCCTGAAGGATAAAACAGCAACCAAAATGCCCCCACCCACCCACCACCCATGTGAAGTTGACGACCAGAGAGAGACAAGTATACGTTATGCTGCTCGCTCTACATGAATGCAGATATCATTAAGCCACCAGTTCACACGAGCCTAAGATGACGAAGCTGACTTATGCTGCTCGCTCTACATGAATGCAGATATCATTAAACCACCAGTTCACACGAGCCTAAGTTGACGAAGCTGACTTGCAAGGCTCGTGAGCCGGCAACTGCGACTTTTCTTTTCAAGGTGGCCTGCCGCTTGCTTCACTACTGTTCCAGGGCCCGAATTGAAAAGCTCTTACCACGTATACCGGTAAGAGCAGGACTTAGGTTTGTGTGAGCTGGTGTTTCAAGTTTTAACAGTAGTGCTGCAAAACTCAACCCTCTACAACTGCCGGCACCCATCCAAATTCGCATTATCTACATGCCCATTTTCACTCCCTGCAGTTCTGCAGCTGTGAATCAATACAGTTCAATATCGGGTGCTTTCTAAAGCATTTTCTTTCATGGCGATTTTGCATGCCAACCATGGCGAAGAGCACACACACAAAAAAAGAGATAGCTCTGAGCATGCATATGCAGTCACACACAAAAAAAGGGATAGCTCTGAGCATGCATATGTAGTCACACACAAAAAAAGGGATAGCTCTGAGCATGCATATGTAGTCTCCTGCTTGTTGTCCACCTTGATTAATAGTATTGAAGTTACATATTTCCTAATGAATCTAGCCTATTCATGGTAACCGGCCGGACGTCTGGACCGGGTTCCAGACAGTCCGGAACAACATGTGGGGGTCCGGTGTCCAGTCCATGATGTCCGGAGGGAGGCGCCCGGGGAAAAATCAAAAAAAAAAAGGGGCGGCCCAGGACGTTTTTCAGGTCCTGGCCGCCCCCTGAAAAATAACGGGGTGAATTTGCAGTGTCACTTCACCCCACCGGACAGGGCCTAGAGACCCGGACACACGACATCTAGACTGCAGAAGATACTCCACTGGAAAGGAGAGAGAGAGAGAGAG